ACCTCCACATCTAAACTTCACCAGCTGTACGCTTGGATACACGGCCCGTCGTTTCTCGGGATATCAGGCTGGTCAAACGGTATGGACATCTGGGAGACGCACGATGGACGAGCATGGTCTCCCAAACTCTTCACACGCGCACGTGACTGTTGTAGCAAAGTTTGAGGCCCTTTTGGATGTGGCTCTTACATTGTGTCTTCGGTGGGAACACAGCGCCTGCTCACTCGACATTTCTTCGCTTCTTGGTGCCCACCTTAAACGCGTCTCTAGTTTTTCGAGGTACTTACGAACTGATGGTGGAGCAATGGTTGACGTTATTAGAGCTCCGTTATGTGTGGCTTCTCAACGAGAGCGGAAACTCCTTGCAAGACTCGGAAAACTGGATCCAGGAGATTTCTTCAGGCCCTGTAGGCAACTTTATCAACTGGGCATCGAGTTCTGGATCGTCCCTCGTCTTCAAAAAATGATAACTTTAGGCCAAGTCCTCGCCTAAGAACCATTCTGATTGCGCTGATTGACAACTTACCAAAAATTATTATTGCACGGAGGCCCGAGACCTTAATCCCGATCGTGACAGTGCCTTCTGACACCAGCTTTGACGTATGCCTCGGCCCGGAGAGACGATACGACTATAGTGTCCATTTTATTATCATGAAGGACGGCACAAACACAACTCACACCTTTTTTGTCTCTTTGTGGGACGAGGCACTGCTCATTCTTCGACAGTGGACTGGGGTGACCTATCACGTCTGTAAAGTGGATCCTCATCCGGCCTTATATAGAGCGGTGGAGGTTAAAATACCCCGAGGATACTTAACGCGTTCCAGAGCGCATTATAAACAGGCGGTCTTAGCTCAGTCCGGGCAAATCGGGCTACGGGGAGGTCAAACAACGGCAAGTGGCCTGGTCGGGCGATAGTATGCTATTGGGGAGGCACTGAACACTATCTTGTGAGCAAGACTTCGACGCATTACTGGTGGTAATGTTTGGGCGGAACAGCTATGGCACCGCATTAAGCTGAGAGCCACTTGCATCCGGGACTCGCAAAGACAAGTGCCGGGGTGCCGCTTACCGGAGTTCCTGCGATGCTGCACAGTACCACAATTGGTGCGAGTAGGTCACACATACGTGGCCTACTCGCACAAATTGTGGTACTGTGCAGAATCGCAGGATCTGTGGCGGGTCTTTGCAGAAAAATGGGGGAAGATAGGCTTAGCGAACCCGGTTGAGGACTCACAGGCCATATTCAGCCTCAGATTATCTCAGGTACCCTGGGGTATTTGGAACTACGTGAGGCGCTCATATGGTCACTTACCATCGGATCGGAAGCAAGGATTACACAGCTGGTGTTTCGTGATATCAGAGGACTATTAGGTTCTTGGTGTGACGCACACCCTGCAAGCCATATGGGCTCGTCGCTGCAGATGCAGGGATGGTGCCCTAGACAACTCGTCCTTCGGGGCGAAGGCAATGCTTTTAGGCCGTTCACGGCAGGGATTCCTGACACTACGTGACCTTACCATGGCGACAACTTCTCCTATCAGAATATCCGAGCGGCGGCTAATGTGGCTTACACAGCGTTTGAGGACACTGTGACAGATGACGTGCCACGAATGTCTCCGCTAGTCTAGTACATTTCCGCTGTGCTCTTCTTTAGTGCTGAATCTCGTATTAATTCCGGCCCGGGTGGTGCGGGCGCTATGATAATTGCGAACTATACGTCTTCATACTCGGCCGGAGTGCGTTGGACGTGCATCGTATTCCTCGCAGCCACCGCTACAAAAAACTATGCGGCGGAATACAAGGCCCTTCTTTTTGGGCTTCGCAAGGCGCTGAGGTACCATCTTCAACGACTACGTGTCGTTAGAGACAGCGAACTGATACTAGGACAACTACGGCGCAGGAGGCTGCCACAGGCTAAACATCTCCAAAACCTGTACAGGCAATGTCGATTTATGGGGGCCGGTTGGCGTGGCCACGTAAACTCATCACCTTCGACAATTTAACCAGATAGTGGACGCCCTGGCAAACATTGCGATGGACTCAGGACGCAGCATACAAATTCTCGGTCCTGAAGTGGCAACGCTGCCACCCGAATAGGCGGTCGTTACAAGCTATTTACGTGTTGACCTGGGGTATTGTATTGACACGCAATGGGATACGGCTGGAAAAGCCGATAAACAGGAGGACAACTCTCGGTTTGCAACCGTGGGTTTCTTTTGCTAAAACAATTGATAGTTAGCACAACGGCTGGGGATGTGTATGCCCCTACCGGACGGGCATGTTCGGGTCGTTAGTTCCTCTGAATGACTGTAACGTACCAAAAAAATCGCCGTTCACCAACACGGCGCCGGTTAAGAGCGTCTTCTCCATCCTGAAGTTTCGTAAAGATGCGTTCAACAAGTTACTGACGGAATTTACTCGTTAGAGGTTCTTGTCGTGCAACCAGTACGTCATGTTGATTCATTCCGCATTGCAAAGCGCTTGTGTATATCTCTATTTAAGCATAATTCCTGATCTGCCTAATCGTATTTCTAAATGTTGTCTAACATCATTCGTTTTAGGCAGATTAGACAGTTGCCTATCTGAAGAGGTCTAGCAATTAACTACCGGGTTCAATAGCAAAGTGACATGTGGTATGGCGCACAATAATTTTCGGATGTAGTAATTATATGGTTAAAGGGAATTGTTATTTCCGCCACACTCTTTACTGATTTCACCACACCACGACATTTGTTTGGACAGCTACAGACGCACCTCGCATTAACCACCACGTGCTCTTGCACGGATAGTAGATAACTTTCCAGCCTCAATATCGATATAAAGTGTGAAAACTAGTTGGGAATCAGCTAATCTGTTTGATTGCCCACACACATTCACCTGTCACTGATTGGATTTTGCTTTTCGGGACCGACTGCAAGTTTGCAGTCCAAAAGTCAAGCAACTTCCACACAATTCCAATCATACTATCGAGAGCGCCATCCATCGCTTTAGCATCCGATACAAAAACCGGATGACAAGCTTAGCTACAATTGTATAACCTCCAGTGCCCGCTACACGAGAAACAAGCGACAACGAGCAAAATGATAGAGGGTGAGACGAGACTATGAGTCTTAGAAGGGGTATATCCTCTACGGAAGATACCCTTCGTGGCGTGTATTGTAACGGGGCACCCTGAAGCTTGTACTGGTGACAGTACAAGCTACTTATTCTGACAGAATAAGGCGGTGCCTCGTAACTTTACGTACACTCGTACGTGCAGAGGAAGACGGTAAGAAGAAGCGAGTACTTGGTTAAAGTAAAAAGTAGAACTGTATTTAGTATAGTTAATGTCTGCAATAAATCACTATTTATCTTCATCTAACTATGTCTAAATACAAATGTGCATATCAACTATCTGCTCACCACTCATTGCGTGCGTCTGTCGTGGCGCGTCTTCGTTGGTTGATATAATGGCCTATATTAACCAATTAGGAACTACTCGTAAGTGCTGCAGAATATTTGTCCTTATGACAATATTCTGAGAATATAACTCTTATAGTTATATTCTATTAATATTTTTATTAAATTGCTATGTTCGATTCACCCAGTTACATGTATGGTATCTACAGCGAGTGAGCAATTTAAAAAAATACAAGGTCGAGGTAGTCACTGACTTTGCATTCCAGTGCCAGTAAGACGCGTACGCGGAAAGACCAATGGTGTGTTCATTGCATAAGAAAAGACATCTTGTACAGAGGTTCTTCCTATCTCACTGGGTGCAAGCCTGATGGTCCAGCGTATGCAGGAAATTAAATACAGGCATAAGTTTGTGTCACTATATCAGCTTCTTTCCGAGCGGGAGGACGATCAAGTGTTCTTGTTATAATGCTTAAGAAGTTTGGGCGAGTCAGCAAGTCCTGGAGGTCAAAGACATTTAGATGCCCCCCGAGACGTATTGCAATGCGTACTGCATTGATAGGAAGAATGTAAGGCACTGAAAGGCATCAACTTGTTTGCGGTTGCTCAGCCGACCGAATGGCAAGTTGCGCACGAATATTAAAAAAAGAGTTGTATTACCCGATCGTTTTGAAACCATCACTGGCAATTTTCGCAAGTCGAGGGTGCGCTCACCGTACTTTGTAGTTGAGGGCGGAGTGGGAGTGATGCTGTGGTAAGGCAGTGTTGTGTGGCGTGGTGTGCCTGTAGTTATTCAAGCACAAGTTATAGCGAGCTGTAAGAAGTAAAGAGTGTAGGGAAAATAGTAAAAAGTGTGGGGAAATTAACAATATCCATGTTAAATACAGCCCATTTTTACAAAATACACCCTATGCATCTCACTTGTACCGCGCCACAATATGGTTTGTACGACGAGCATTGCGCCATCATGCCTCTCCACGACCGCTATCGCAAAACAATCAGCATCTGCCGTACAAAAGTTGTGTGATTTTTTTCGAATTTATCTTTCTCCGACAGGCAATATGGCCTAAAACTATTGCAGATCCAGGACAGGCTCGAGCAAAAAAAACATGTAGCTGTAAAATGCAATTTTTTGTTATAGTTGGTAATTCATACTGAAATGGATGTATTTGATTAAGTTTGGTGAAACTTGAACCTTGTTTCATTCATTTTTGTACCTTTCTCGACTGAAACCTGGCTGTTGCCGTTCTTAAAAAGTAGCAGTAGCAGCGCAGTTGTATCCGACATGTAGTGACAAATGCATCGTGGTCGTTAGTCAAGTTGTATACGGAGGTACATAGCTTAAGGCATCCACTGCGCGCTAAAAAGTTAGCTTGTTTATTCCTCTCAATATTTGTACGATAGATGTACATTGTTGTGCGCTCGTGGTCGCATGGTGGCACGATATTTGTCGTAAAAACCATTTTGTGGTGTGGTTGGTGGGGTCAATGGGGTGTGGTTAGTAAAAAGTAAGGTGGATTAAGAAAAAAGTGAGGTGTATTTATAGATACCATTAGTAAAAAGGGTGTGGTGGGTATATATTTTAAAAAAAAGCCACAGACATGACTGGACGTTCTCGAGCCTGGACGAAACTCACGGCGCTCGAAACGCACCAATCAGAAGCAAGGGAGCAATTGAACAAGCCAATCACAAGCGACGCACTGGACGAGTCCCACGTGCGCGTCTTTCGACTGCAAGTGGTCAAGAGGCTGCTGGGGGTTACGATCAAGAGCGTGGGTTACGATCAAGAGCGTGGGTTACGATGCTCGGGCCAGAACGTTACTGAGGAGACTCGTGCTGGCAATGGACTTGCAGTGGACAGACGTGACCCAGGAAGAGGAGAAGATTGGTCCGACGTTGTACGCAGAAGCTACTGCCGCGCTGCTGGCCAAGAACGAAGCAACGAGACCGGGAGGCTGGGACTGGAAACGCCATGCGGCAATTGGCGCAGCATCTATGACTGGCGGCGCTTTACTTGCAGTGACAGGAGGTCTTGCTGATCCTGCAATTGCAGCAAGTTTGACAGCACTGGGAGGAGCAGGCGTGACGGTGGCTGGACGAGGATGACCTGCCAACAAATGGATTCCGTCGAGCGTGGGGGATACTAGCGAGTGCTTGAGTGCAGCCTATGATTAGCGAGACCCAAAGAGGGTGGACCAGGTGGATCGAGTCATGGGCCAGTGTCGAGGTCGAGCGGACGAGCTACTTACTACCATGCATCGCACGTACAGCAACGATGCAGGTGATGAGACGTATGACCCACTTGGAATTGCACGTTAATCGAGGAAGGTACCCACAGGCAACGACGCGCATGGTAGTGACTTGACAGGCCACAACTTTGACTCGAATGCATGTTCTCGCAATTTGACGAGCACAGCAGCAATAAACGTGAGTCCATCTGCGCGGGAGCGAGAAACAAAGCACAACCCGCTTTGAGCATGGCTATAGAAAGACTGCTTCACTCATAGTGATCAGTTCTGTCTTATTTGGGAGAGAGCAGGACTACTGCGGTTTGGTAAATGCATGCGTACGTCTGCAGCTGAGCAACTTTCAGTATATGCGACGACAGCAATTGTCAAGGACACACACAGCGCTGGCAGCACTGTTTGCTTCCATGACGATTTTGCAAGTGGTATTTCGACTGGCCGACATCATTGACAAAGTCTGGACGGTAACAACGGCGGACAGTCCTGCAATTGCTAGCGGATGCGCTGCGTAAGTGTGAGCAAGGCTTGCGTTCCGTCACAATAATTGGATATGGTGAGAGTGCCAGATTGGTTTTCTCCTGCTTGAAAGAACTGGCGGGTGACGATATTGGTCAACGAATTGTGTGGGATTGTAGAGAACGCTGTATTGCTCGGACCGCCTCTTTCCGTGGCACGTACAGAATGGATGAGCGTTCGTCGCTTAGTCTCGGGGATGCTAATTGATAAGCATTCAGATCATGATTGGATGCTTTGTGTGATGTTTCATTACCAGAGGTGGGCTCTGATCTCGGTTGGCGTTGCGCCTCTCGGTGTCACTGTGGTCCAAAACGTTAATTTGTCTGAAGTTAGTGGAGGCACTTGGAGTACAATAGCAAGATTGGTATCGTAATGATTCTACTGCAGTTGGCGGGCTGATTGGTGGCAACGAAGTCAACTACTGCAAGCATCATTCCGCAAGTTTGGTGCTGCCTGTGCAACCGCATCGCGTAGAGTAACATCGGTGTTTCTTGCGTTCGTATCGATCTCCACACCAGCGTCATTTCGTCTACGAGCTGACCCGAATTACAGCATTAGACTCTACTTTCCAGCTTTGTGGCGATGCGTCTCCGTTGAGCTCGCAGCCAGGCACAAGTCGAGAAGCGATCGTCAGCTCTGTTCTAATGGATCAGACCTACAAGTATAGCGCTCGCGTCCACAGTTGTTGTACGCAAAGGCTGACGTAACAAAACTCTTTTCATGCCATTCATCCGCAGGCTATGTCGCCACGCCATGGTGGATTACGAAATCAAGCAGCTGATGTCGATACCGGTACTATGTCTTCGCATCGTAGTGAAGTCGCAAACTTTTAAGTGTCATTTGTTACGATAGAAAAAAGCTCACTGAGTGGTGTCGATGCATTGGCGATGTCGAGATACAAGCAAACTGAACCCGCTTCGCCGCAAAGGACATCAACGGAAAATGGGTGTCGTCGTGCTTCATAATGACACATGAAAGTCACCGTGATAGGGTTCCCGCATTGTTTTTAAGCCGAGCTTAGAGGATCGTACTCTTAGCATTTATTCTTTCGTAAGTTCATAGACGCAGTTCGTCGTTGTCGAAAATTCTGTCATGCGTCTTTCATGTGGACATTCATGTAACTTGTCCGAAAGAGTTGGTCAGTACCCATGCCTCGCCTGGGACGAAATGCGATAAAATTGAATTCGATTTGCGTCGTGACATTTCAGTAAGTTTGACGGTCCGTAGCCACAGACGACGAACCGTTTTGGATTCCCTTGACTCTCATGTCTGGAATAGTGCTAGGCATCACCTACAACAAAGAGAAGGTTTCCATCACATGGCCTTGAGTATGGCTTCAATACAACTCGCTTGATGGTCAATTTACCCCGTAGAAAACGTCCAGGTTGACACTTGTATAGCATGAATTTCATGTTTGTTGATGGAGAATCGCCACGTTGTCAAAATATTATCGGCTACAATTGTTACGTGGTCTACGACAGCGAGATATGACGACTTTAAGTCACGTCACTACGAGCTTAGACGCGTTGAAGCTGGATACATGCAACTTGACCTAGGACCGTAGGGCCTAGTTGGTTTAGTCGGGCGGTATGTATTAGTCTGTTACGTGCAAAGGGCATGGCACGAGAGAGTATAGCGTAAAGAGATAGGATGGGTTACAGAATCTGCGACCATTACCAATAACGCCACGTTCAGTCGAGTGTCTTTCTATCTAGCAGCTCGCAGCGCTGGATGCATGACACCTTCAGTCTTGTTACGCCGCCACTCGGCGAAACTATGGGATCTGGTCAAGCAGCAATGGAAGGCTGGGCAAACGTACTCTCGTGGGAGTCCCTTGCAGTTGACAAGTCATGAATACGCGCCGGCTTGGCGAAAGAGCCGACGTCCACGATAACAACACAAGGCATATCAGTACATCCATCCCGCTATTCACTCCTCCCGGACTTCGTTGACGCTGTGAAGTTGCTGTGTTCAAGAAGCCGTACGAGATGTGCGAGCTCGCACGATAATGTTCCCATGAAGAGTAGCTGACACACGATTGCAAAAGCTTCGAAACAGGCTTCTTCGACAGCAGTAAAGCCCAACGGATTCGACCACACGCCGTTTGCACACAAGAAAAAGACACCAACTACAAGCAGATCAACCAAACAAGAGTGAGAATACTAAGCACCATACCCAACCCAGTCCACAAGTCGTACATAAGAATGTTGACGCCAGTCCCATACACAGCAACAAGCGTCCGAGCGTAAACGCCGTGAAGAAATCGAACCGTCTCCAGCGACGAAGGGACGTCCAGAAGGACCGACGCTGCAGCACAGTCAATAGGCTTTCACCTTTCGACATCTTGCCATCAACGTCTGCACCCTCATCCTCATGCAAAGTACTTGTCCGTGCAACTTGCACCGCAATCATCATCACCCATGCCGAGATGAAAAACACGACCGTAAAGACAATGTGTGCATCATGATAAGCCTGCATATCCATGGCAGCCAGTCCAAACAGCGAGAGAGCTGTCACAAGCCCGAACACGAGACACGTGTAGCCCACTGCCACGTACTGCGTACTGCTTTTCCCCGATGAGTTGTGTCTCTGCTGTCGCGTACGTAGACGCAAATACCAGAAAAAGAGCGAGATCGACACGAAGATCAAGACAGCCGTGAGGCTCATGCCCAGCATGAAAATGTACCCTTCTGGTCGGAACGTCGCAGCGTATGACAGCGTTGGAAAAGCTTCGAAACAATTGAAATGACTCGTGCATGCCATGAATTCGGTGCTAAGCATTGTCGAGATGCCAATCAAGGGCACGAGCCACGCGATGAAGCCAACGTTGTCCCTACGACTCATTCTACACATATAAATTATACAGATTTGAACACGGGTGAGGGTGATCTCGATTCCCTCAAGGACGTGGCTGTTTATTGTGGTGATTAATCACTTGTGACAAGTGCTCCGGTTTAGTACCTCTCGAACAGCGAGACAACCAGCGACTCGAATGGATGTTCATTCGTCGTCAATTGTGACGCTTTTGTCAATTTGACGATTGTCCTGCTACATTCGGACAGAAGTAGATTTCTGATCGAGCGACGATTTTATCCACGTGTGCGCCAAATCGACTGGATAATTACGGCAAATGCTAAACGGCAGAATTCATTTTATTCGGCTAGGTCATTCTGGTTCGTTAATAGAAGTAGCTCAGAAATACGCCCAATTTTGGCAGGAGTTGATCCCAAATATTCAATTTTTTATTACCAGGCCACTTTAATTGTGGCGTTTCAACACCCGACGCCACTAGTAGCCACAATTAATATTTGCCAGGCACAACTATTTAAGTCCGAGGCGTGTCTGCAAGAAAATGCCTTTCTCGAGCGCAGATTATGGCACATAATCACATTTAATAGCGCAAAATAATCGGGCTGTACACGTACAGTTTTACGTTGATGCACCCGACCGGATTTGGTCTAATTTGCTCACGGACTGTGGAGCTTTAAAGGGATATTTCCCCTCCTGTGAAAAAAAAGAACCCCATTCCACAGTCTCTTCCTGGCCACGTAATTGTGTCTGAGTCCCTCCAAACCCATTTGCAGTAGAAGCTGTCTAATACAATACTGTCTGAAAAAAAAATAGCCCCAAAATTTAAAAGTAGGTCCGTCATAAGGTCGGACCCATTCAACAAGTTAAAAACCTCTGTAATTTAAACATTAAATGCAATTCAGTGTCCCGTTTTTCAGATTAATATTTTCGTATCTATTTTTCGCTAAAATGGGTTAGTTATGTAAAATGATGTGAAGTACAACCTAAATCACGTCTAAAAGGTCTTGTAACGAGGCACCCTTTATTTGGGTGCCACGAAACTTCACGTACACTAGTACGTGCAGAGGAAGCTATTCTACTTAAACGACTCGTTTAAGTAAGGGCAAAATGAGAACTGTTTTTAATATAGTTAAGCTATTAACATAACTTCAGTCTTTATTAAACTATATTAGACTACGTCGTGGTATGGCGACAACCTGCTCACCACTCATTGCCGCGTCTAGCAGCGATTGGTGGCAACCAATGGTTGATATGTGTTATATCAACCAATCTTGGAGCAGCGCATGAATATCGCCCTACAAGGAGTTAATATTCCTGCAATATTATCCATCTCGGATAATATTGGCAGAGTATTGTCATGCTAGACAATATTCCTATTGACACCGTTTGGTGTGGATTTCATGTAACGGGCTACCCCGTTTCAGGTCTCGTATGTCAGACTTAACCATTTGATTTGTGCTGATCGCCCCGACTTCGTTCTTCATTCGCTGCAGTGACTTGATAAAAGTCTGCGCATCACCATCCCGTCGCAGCCATTGAGTCTCAATCAACTCCAGTTGACTTCTGAGTATCCACAACAACGATTCAAGGCTGTTCCTAACAGTCACCTGCCCATCCTCAGGCTGAGTCAGAAGGTAGTCTATAATGATGTCATCCGCTTCCGGAATGTACGATGCAATTAGCTCAGCAAAATAATCGAGCAGGTTGCGGATGTCCATCGGCTTGATATGTTAAGGCGTACAATTTGATGTTTCACTTCTCAAATAACTTTATTGTCAACGCACTGCCCCTCGAGGACTAGTGGAGCATTAGCTGGTTTGATTGGATATTGCGGTGCCCGAATCAGTTGTGGGTAGTCTCAGTGCCGACATCGTTAGCCCATGCTGCGACTAACATCTGAATAGCACGAAGGGTGATGTTTTTGCCGGCTGAACTACACCATTGTCGAAATCCTGGAGGAGCTTACGGTTGACTCTGCGCAGGTTTTATGCATCGAGGTTCTTATAATTTCCTGTTCACAAGGCTGAAGCTTTGATGTCATATTGGGAGGAAGGTAGTAACTTGCCGTGTTGCGAAGTGTGATCCGCTGAACAGCAAGCGGGACGGGTGCGCTGCAAGTGTCCAGTATTAGCAACACCCTTCAGTTTGCCATCCTTCGATCGAAGTCCCTCAGCCAATCGAAAAAGATTATTTATGTCATCCAGGCCTTCTTGTTGCTGCGATACGGACAGCCAAGGTTCTGGAGATTGGAATAGTGGAAAAAGCGAGGAGTGGCGTACTTGCCAATGATTAACAGGGGCGTATTGTCAGATCCATTACCGTTGCAGCAGACTGCCACAGTAATCCGTATCTTATTTTACTTCCTTCCGTCCAGCTGCCGCGTTGTTAAAAAATGGCCAGCCTGAAGCATAAGAGTTTCATAAGTTACTATAAATGAATAAGTTTTGATGTCTTTGCAGAGCGCTTACCTGCATCCGATTGAACAAGCCGGTCTCATCCATGTTAAATATCATTCTATTCGTACTGACTGAGGACCTCAAGTAGGGAAGGAAGTGCGTCCATCACAGCAATAATGTACACCAATCCGCTCCTTCCAAAGCGGCGATATGAGCATATTTCGTTGAGAGCTTTAAAGGTTTCTAGCCATTTATTTGTAGAATGAAATGGCTCATGTCCTGGATGAAGAAGACCCAAAATCCACCCAACATGTTCACAGACAAGTTATCCGCTGATACTAATGCGACACTGGTGGGCAGTGAACCAAGCTAGCAGACCTAATTCCATCAGTAGATATTCGACTAAACGCTGAAATTTATAACTCATGTTGGTTTCCACTGGAAGTTGGAGAAGGTCGGCATTTCTTTTATAGCGTGTTTAAGACTTTTGCCTGGATGACTCTTAGCTGACGGTTGTCCTGTTGCCAGTTGGCAAGCTGAGTCTGAGTCAGTGCCGAATTCCTCGGCATGATGTATGCAGAGAGCCAAATGGACATGTTCCGTCATTGTGGTGCAGCGTGCTTCTCTTAGAGGCATTGTTGATGTGCTGCTGAGTTGTTCTAAGGGGAATTGAGAGGGGCAGCCTGAAGACTTAGACTGAGGACTGGAATGTAAATTGCAAAATACAAGTATCAAGGTCCTTAGTTTACAATCTCCTGTTGTTACTCTAAGCCTACTAGATTCTCTCAGCCTATATGTTAGTAATGGCGACATCGCACACCACTAATCGTCTAGTCGCGCATCACTTTATCGTCTAGTCGTACTTATGTAATGATAGTCGTGAGTTTTCACAACACCTGAGCGTATTTAAAGTGGGGGGACGTCACTGCCTGGCAGGACAGTGCTGGTCACCCCAAACGCCAGGTCCGAACGTTCAACTTTCTCGTGTATATTCCTCACCGGTATCGAGCCAGCGACCTTTAGGTTGGCACTGCCGTACCAAACCGGCTAAGCTGCAAAACACTAATTTACAAATAGGCCTAACTCTTATATAGACAGCCATAAAAAGAGATTTAATAATTTGGAGGAGTGCTACAGCATGTTCTTAATCATTATCTCACTAAAATTATTAAGAAAGCAGGTCCCAGCATTATAAATTTAAAAAGTTTCTACTGTCACACGACACGGATTGCCATTGCACCATATTTTTGGACGTTCGGTTTGCCAAAATTTGCCTCCCTTGGCGTATTACAGCATAAATCAACGCCCATCTTGTCGAATTCGGTCTGAATATTTGCAAGCGTAATCCATCTACGAACATCGTCGGGTCAGCAATGTGCATGTTCCGTGTGCATTTGGCCGCAAAGACAAGGTTGGTGCCGAAAGAAAATCTACTTGCAACATCCGGTATTTAAACGTCCATTTCGCGCTAAGGTCTACCAAAAGCACATAAAGACCCAGCATTTTCAGAACTGCTATACGTACTGTGCCCTGTCAAATAAGAAGAATGCTGCTATTCTTTGACACAAGCGCTTCTGTTATGTACCGAATACCATACGATTTTTATTTTGGCGGAGCCCAAGCTCATACGTATTACTTTGAAAACAAGAGCCTCGGCGATGCTTTTTGTCGTTGGTGAGATATTATTCCATTCTGATAACGCACGACAATTACGGGCGAACTCTGTCCATTTTCATGGACGTTGTTGGTCCCAAAGAGAACGAGCAGGACTCGAATCTTCGGACCGAACGCTATTGTACCGTCATCAAGAAGCACACACAGTTACGTTTCATCTTAGGATAGTCATGTGGAGGGGCGTTGTTTCGATTGGCTGCTCGGTTATGCACATGACGAAGGAGCTAATGGGTTTATCGTCGATCAGGAGTGCAAGTGAAGGCAAGATCACAAGTTTCACTCAAAGTGTCTGAGCGTTAAATCTTTAGAAGATCTCGGAAATGCTCGTCTCAGAAAGGAAGTTATATCTATTCATGGGCATGTACACACACTTACCTTCCTCGTATTTGGACATTCGCATTCATCGTTGCATGTGACGCTATTCACAGCTTCCATTTTTTCACTATCTCGATGTTTGGCTGTAATACTGAAGAAGAGATATATTGCACTCTAAAGAAGCACCGGAAGTTGTCTGTCCCGACCGGAGAGTCTGTTTTTTTCATCACGATGGACGGTGAAAAAATGATGACAGGTGAAGCTCAAGGCGTCTATACTCTCTCTGAGCGAGTCGTGAAGCATACTTTTTCCGACTTTGGTGTGGCCTACACACTTGATGTTGTTCTGCAGCTTTTTTTCAAGCGTCTATTGGATGATAAGTTCCACTCTCTACTGACCTGCCTCATCTCATACTTAAAAAGGCAACAAAAGCTCAGCGAATCCATGAAAACACAAGCCAAGAAAATTGCAGACACTCGATAGGGGTCGATGCTTAAGGTAAATTCGTTAGTTTTCTTTCCATTAGCGATGGCTTACAAAGATATGATATGTGGTGCAGGTTGTTGCTTGGTTTCGGCAACCTCAATTGCCAAAACCAGCAAATTCTGGTGAGAAGAATGCGCCTTGCGCACCACCACTCAAGTGGTGGTTGTTTGTTAGCTTTGTCACGAAGGTCGCCAACGAGGCAATTATCACGTATCGAAGAGCCTTAAAAGGATTGAAAACGATTGTTTCCCAGCAACGCAAAATTATTTAAAAGTAAAACCCACGTCACGCGTCTTGGTTTACCGCTTCAAAAAATGTCAGCAAAAACCGCAAATGCGCTCGATTTGGGATCTAGTATGCTTTCGAAGAATTAAAAGTTTTTATTAATCTCAGCGGTGTCGAAGACGTATTGGCGGACCTAGGCGGAATCTTTATCGTGGCCAAGTTATAGAAATGACTGCCGCTGTAAAAAGCATCGCAACTTGCTGTGTTGGATACATTTTCAGCCTTGTAATCATCGTGGTAGCTTGTGACTCAAGGAACGATGCTGCCGATTTAATAATGCCTGTTTTACCTCATCAGCTCATCAAACTTCGTGGTCAAGATCTCGCTGACATTACTCCCAAACAAAGGGATCGTCTGTTCGCCCGCTGGAGTTAGCAAAGAATTGAGCTCATTGAGCAGATTTGTAACGGGAGTAGAACGTCTTGTTACTAGCTCACACGTGTGATTGAAGAAACTCAAGCCCAAATCCTAGGTATTGCGTAGAGTGAACTCTTATTTTAATTTTTGTTCAAGTTCCTACTATTCACAAAAATTCCTATTCGTAACAAGTACGATCGTTTTCCCGCCTTTTGGAATCACTTATTGATAGGTAATTTATCATTTGTCCACGCTAGGTATCATTTCCCTAAAAATGAATTTATAAGAAATAGCAATGACGTGCCCGTTATTTGGACGCAGAACCTGCCTGAGTATAAATGTTGATTCTGATGTGTAATAGACCCATAACAAGGCGTTTTTAAATTTTTGAGCTGCTTATGACCGTGAGCCGTCTTTGGAGTAGGTCCTGGATCAGTGACATGTTAACAGTACGTTTACGTAATGCAGGAGCTACGTGCAACATCGTTAAGAGCACCTAAAGACGTTTTGTGAAGGCTTGACGAACATGCTCTTAGCACGCCTACTGGCCTAACAGAATTCTTTCTGAAGTAAATCCGGCACGTTAAGTATTTCGATACACTACATACAATAACCTTCTAAGCACTTCTTTATTATTAATTAATTTAGATCCAGGCTACATTGTGTCCAGTAAACTTGCTTTCGAGTGAAGATCAGGCAAGCGTCACCATTAGCCACTATTTAAAATTTACCAGGATCCTCCATTATCGTGATAATTATAATGACGTGCGCCACTATTAAAGTGGCCTGCATATTACATGTTTCTCACTTGCCTGTGCAAAGCTTACAATGAGGATTTTAGTGTAAACGTTACACGGGCTAGTGAGTAACGATTCGTGGCTAAACTCTACTACATTCCTTACTTACTGACCGGATTCTAATCGCGTGAATAACAGAAACAGGTGCATTTTTCAGTAGGTGCAACATAAATCCATTCTAGGACACCCGTAAGTAGTACATCCTTGCCACAATCGCCGTCTGCGATACACTTGGATGTGCCACATCCATCCCGTTTTTGTCTATATGACGATGCAACAAACTCATTCGATTAGAATGAAAGGGTTCCTCATGAACTGGGCTGTGCCCAGTATGGCCACATTGCCAATTGGAAGACGCGCTAATTCTTACAAGCAAATAAGCATCTGTTTGGTTACAAGCAATGTAAAGATTCCTTTATTACAAAAAAGATTACATTGAGGCCATGAAAGGCGGACTTTGTCTTACGGTAAGCACATACTCTAGAAGAGCTATCTTGATATCAATTTTTTAATGTATTAAGCTCATGACACCTGCACCAATAAATTTTGTGAAGCGAGTACAGCCAAAAAGATGGAGTACCGGGTAAAGTCGATGCGTACGCATATTAAAGCTCATTTAATATTCATGTAGGTGGCTAATTTCTTTATTTAGCTTCTGTGGCGCTTACGACTTCAGGAGAACCGAATGGTCCTAGCGCTGGAGTGCTATCTGCGATCTCTATGCAAACGCCATGGATTAAGACATACCGTCCGTTATCGATTGAGCTGGTGTAGATAGAAAAACGTGCGTAGACCTCATATTTAGTTGGATCCATTGAGGTGGCGATCTTAAAACGTCTAAGAAGACTATTGCTGAGTAAGCATACGGAGATTAAAGACTCGCTTATTTACGTACTTGTAAGGAATCGAAGCGACGCGCCGTATATTGATGTCAGGAGTGACGGTACCGAAGATAGCTATGAATTTAATAAGATACAGACGTATGATTCTATTGTCGGAAAAAAGTGGCGATTGACCCCTGATTGCATACTGTTACATTGCGCAATGTGTTGAATGTGAAAAATGTGGGGATAAGCCAGACTTTGGCGCTGCATCAATGCGTGCGCCTCGCGGTTTACAATGCAGTAGCAAATATCTTTTAATTTGTTCGCCATATGAATGGCAGCCTTTTCTTGGTAGTACGTCACATTATGGTATACTTTTGGATGTAAGAAGTCATTGGGATCCCGAAGGGTGAAGCTATGGTGACTGTGCGCGAGCTGAACGTCGAACTTTCCAACGTATTTACTTGTGTGTATTTCCGTATGTGTCTGTCTGTAAATAAACCGTTTTGCTGTACCTTATACGTACTAAGTGCGATCCATAATGCTCCTCCTCATAGATATGAAGGTACTAAAGTCGCTCTTGGCTGGGTCACTTTTGTGACGCACGTGAACGGCATAGATTCAATCAATAGTGAATATCATCACATAAGCAAATGCTGGACACCTACAAGCAAAGGCTGATCGCTTTCTTCGATTAAATTGTAAGGGTTGATACATATATTAACATCCATCATACTAGTTCTTCAGTGACTGCTGCTGTTAGTTTTTGTAGCTTTAACCACTTTTCCAAACTGAATAACTTACGAAAGTGTTAGCTTTTGAGCTTGCTTTCCTAAATTACGATCAATGAGGACCGATTCCTGTACGCATTAATGTACATTTGGGAGATATTATGAGAATGAGTCGACGAGATGATTGAAAAGGTGGCAAGATTTGAATGTTTAACCAAAACGTGACAGAATATTCTGAATTTTAAAGCATTTATAGTTTATTATAGAGCCGCTAGCTACGTCGGCGACCCGTAGGTACAGCGTGAGAAACTCTTGATGTTACAGTGCACCGATGTGATGAAGGACCAGACAATTGCTGTTACAAGAGAAGGGGTTGTATGCACCCTAGCGGAGTGGTGCATGTATTATGTCCTGAGGTAAAAAGTGTGGGGGTCGATTTCAGTGGATGCTGTCGAAGGTACCTCGTGACATCTTGCGCTCATTTTCACGTACACATACTTGTTCGGACCTGGACATAATTTAAGTCTGACGCAGCCCGCTCCATTCCGGTCGACCCTAGAGTAAGTATTGTAGGTCACACAGGGAATCGCTGGTGGGAGAACTTTTCACTTAAACCGTGATGAGTAGTGGTTGTTTCGAACAAGTTAAATGGTACTGTTTTCTGGGTGCACACAAGCTCGGTTGTCGAGTCACAAAACCCTAATTCCTACGAGTCAAAGAATGATTTTCGCAGTGTTATATGAAGAGAATGACGTGATTTAATGGCTCTAGGCCTCCAGTAAAAGGTGGAAGGTCGCAATGTTCGTGTTCATCAGTGATAACAGACTTTCCGCACTGGTACTATCTACGCATCCAGTCTCCAGATTCTCCTCCTCGCAATAGAATGCCGTCTTTCTGGAGTCTTCCCGCCCGACAGATATACTTCGCTGGTAAAACGGCTTCGTTACTGACCAAACTGTGATCATCGGGGATCAGGATGACACTAACGGTTGTTTAATAAGTTGTGAAGCGGTAGCACTGAACTGTTGTGTGCATCATGCAAATAAGCCTGCACTTGCACCGCAATCATCATGCCCATGCCGAGAGCCAAAAAACACGACCGTAAAGACAATGTGTGCATCATGATAAGCCTGCATATCCATGGCAGCCAGTCCAAACAGCGAGAGAGCTGTCACAAGCCCGAACACGAGACACGTGTAGCCCACTGCCACGTACTGCGTACTGCTTTTCCCCGATGAGTTGTGTCTCTGCTGTCGCGTACGTAGACGCAAATACCAGAAAAAGAGCGAGATCGACACGAAGATCAAGACAGCCGTGAGGCTCATGCCCAGCATGAAAATGTACCCTTCTGGTCGGAACGTCGCAGCGTATGACAGCGTTGGAAAAGCTTCGAAACAATTGAAATGACTCGTGCATGCCATGAATTCGGTGCTAAGCATTGTCGAGATGCCAATCAAGGGCACGAGCCACGCGATGAAGCCAACGTTGTCCCTACGACTCATTCTACACATATAAATTATACAGATTTGAACACGGGTGAGGGTGATCTCGATTCCCTCAAGGACGTGTCTGTTTATTGTGGTGATTAATCACTTGTGACAAGTGCTCCGGTTTAGTACCTCTCGAACAGCGAGACAACCAGCGACTCGAATGGATGTTCATTCGTCGTCAATTGTGACGCTTTTGTCAATTTGACGATTGTCCTGCTACATTCGGACAGAAGTAGATTTCTGATCGAGCGACGATTTTATCCACGTGTGCGCCAAATCGACTGGATAATTACGGCAAATGCTAAACGGCAGAATTCATTTTATTCGGCTAGGTCATTCTGGTTCGTTAATAGAAGTAGCTCAGAAATACGCCCAATTTTGGCAGGAGTTGATCCCAAATATTCAATTTTTTATTACCAGGCCACTTTAATTGTGGCGTTTCAACACCCGACGCCACTAGTAGCCACAATTAATATTTGCCAGGCACAACTATTTAAGTCCGAGGCGTGTCTGCAAGAAAATGCCTTTCTCGAGCGCAGATTATGGCACATAATCACATTTAATAGCGCAAAATAATCGGGCTGTACACGTACAGTTTTACGTTGATGCACCCGACCGGATTTGGTCTAATTTGCTCACGGACTGTGGAGCTTTAAAAGGGATATTTCCCCTCCTGTGAAAAAAAGAACCCCATTCCACAGTCTCTTCCTGGCCACGTAATTGTGTCTGAGTCCCTCCAAACCCATTTGCAGTAGAAGCTGTCTAATACAATACTGTCTGAAAAAAAATAGCCCAAAATTTAAAAGTAGGTCCGTCATAAGGTCGGACCCATTCAACAAGTTAAAAACCTCTGTAATTTAAACATTAAATGCAATTCAGTGTCCCGTTTTTCAGATTAATATTTTCGTATCTATTTTTCGCTAAAATGGGTTAGTTATGTAAAATGATGTGAAGTACAACCTAAATCACGTCTAAAAAGGTCTTGTAACGAGGCACCCTTTATTTGGGTGCCACGAAACTTCACGTACACTAGTACGTGCAGAGGAAGCTATTCTACTTAAACGACTCGTTTAAGTAAGGGCAAAATGAGAACTGTTTTTAATATAGTTAAGCTATTAACATAACTTCAGTCTTTATTAAACTATATTAGACTACGTCGTGGTATGGCGACAACCTGCTCACCACTCATTGCCGCGTCTAGCAGCGATTGGTGGCAACCAATGGTTGATATGTGTTATATCAACCAATCTTGGAGCAGCGCATGAATATCGCCCTACAAGGAGTTAATATTCCTGCAATATTATCCATCTCGGATAATATTGGCAGAGTATTGTCATGCTAGACAATATTCCTATTGACACCGTTTGGTGTGGATTTCATGTAACGGGCTACCCCGTTTCAGGTCTCGTATGTCAGACTTAACCATTTGATTTGTGCTGATCGCCCCGACTTCGTTCTTCATTCGCTGCAGTGACTTGATAAAAGTCTGCGCATCACCATCCCGTCGCAGCCATTGAGTCTCAATCAACTCAGTTGACTTCTGAGTATCCACAACAACGATTCAAGGCTGTTCCTAACAGTCACCTGCCCATCCTCAGGCTGAGTCAGAAGGTAGTCTATAATGATGTCATCCGCTTCCGGAATGTACGATGCAATTAGCTCAGCAAAATAATCGAGCAGGTTGCGGATGTCCATCGGCTTGATATGTTAAGGCGTACAATTTGATGTTTCACTTCTCAAATAACTTTATTGTCAACGCACTGCCCCTCGAGGACTAGTGGAGCATTAGCTGGTTTGATTGGATATTGCGGTGCCCGAATCAGTTGTGGGTAGTCTCAGTGCCGACATCGTTAGCCCATGCTGCGACTAACATCTGAATAGCACGAAGGGTGATGTTTTTGCCGGCTGAACTACACCATTGTCGAAATCCTGGAGGAGCTTACGGTTGACTCTGCGCAGGTTTTATGCATCGAGGTTCTTATAATTTCCTGTTCACAAGGCTGAAGCTTTGATGTCATATTGGGAGGAAGGTAGTAACTTGCCGTGTTGCGAAGTGTGATCCGCTGAACAGCAAGCGGGACGGGTGCGCTGCAAGTGTCCAGTATTAGCAACACCCTTCAGTTTGCCATCCTTCGATCGAAGTCCCTCAGCCAATCGAAAAAGATTATTTATGTCATCCAGGCCTTCTTGTTGCTGCGATACGGACAGCCAAGGTTCTGGAGATTGGAATAGCGGAAAAAGCGAGGAGTGGCGTACTTGCCAATGATTAACAGGGGCGTATTGTCAGATCCATTACCGTTGCAGCAGACTGCCACAGTAATCCGTATCTTATTTTACTTCCTTCCGTCCAGCTGCCGCGTTGTTAAAAAATGGCCAGCCTGAAGCATAAGAGTTTCATAAGTTACTATAAATGAATAAGTTTTGATGTCTTTGCAGAGCGCTTACCTGCATCCGATTGAACAAGCCGGTCTCATCCATGTTAAATATCATTCTATTCGTACTGACTGAGGACCTCAAGTAGGGAAGGAAGTGCGTCCATCACAGCAATAATGTACACCAATCCGCTCCTTCCAAAGCGGCGATATGAGCATATTTCGTTGAGAGCTTTAAAGGTTTCTAGCCATTTATTTGTAGAATGAAATGGCTCATGTCCTGGATGAAGAAGACCCAAAATCCACCCAACATGTTCACAGACAAGTTATCCGCTGATACTAATGCGATACTGGTGGGCAGTGAACCAAGCTAGCAGACCTAATTCCATCAGTAGATATTCGACTAAACGCTGAAATTTATAACTCATGTTGGTTTCCACTGGAAGTTGGAGAAGGTCGGCATTTCTTTTATAGCGTGTTTAAGACTTTTGCCTGGATGACTCTTAGCTGACGGTTGTCCTGTTGCCAGTTGGCAAGCTGAGTCTGAGTCAGTGCCGAATTCTCGGCATGATGTATGCAGAGAGCCAAATGGACATGTTCCGTCATTGTGGTGCAGCGTGCTTCTCTTAGAGGCATTGTTGATGTGCTGCTGAGTTGTTCTAAGGGAATTGAGAGGGCAGCCTGAAGACTTAGACTGAGGACTGGAATGTAAATTGCAAAATACAAGTATCAAGGTCCTTAGTTTACAATCTCCTGTTGTTACTCTAAGCCTACTAGATTCTCTCAGCCTATATGTTAGTAATGGCGACATCGCACACCACTAATCGTCTAGTCGCGCATCACTTTATCGTCTAGTCGTACTTATGTAATGATAGTCGTGAGTTTTCACAACACCTGAGCGTATTTAAAGTGGGGGACGTCACTGCCTGGCAGGACAGTGCTGGTCACCCCAAACGCCAGGTCCGAACGTTCAACTTTCTCGTGTATATTCCTCACCGGTATCGAGCCAGCGACCTTTAGGTTGGCACTGCCGTACCAAACCGGCTAAGCTGCAAAACACTAATTTACAAATAGGCCTAACTCTTATATAGACAGCCATAAAAAAGAGATTTAATAATTTGGAGGAGTGCTACAGCATGTTCTTAATCATTATCTCACTAAAATTATTAAGAAAGCAGGTCCCAGCATTATAAATTTAAAAAGTTTCTACTGTCACACGACACGGATTGCCATTGCACCATATTTTTGGACGTTCGGTTTGCCAAAATTTGCCTCCTTAGCGTATTACAGCATAAATCAACGCCCATCTTGTCGAATTCGGTCTGAATATTTGCAAGCGTAATCCATCTACGAACATCGTCGGGTCAGCAATGTGCATGTTCCGTGTGCATTTGGCCGCAAAGACAAGGTTGGTGCCGAAAGAAAAATCTACTTGCAACATCCGGTATTTAAACGTCCATTTCGCGCTAAGGTCTACCAAAAGCACATAAAGACCCAGCATTTTCAGAACTGCTATACGTACTGTGCCCTGTCAAATAAGAAGAATGCTGCTATTCTTTGACACAAGCGCTTCTGTTATGTACCGAATACCATACGATTTTATTTTGGCGGAGCCCAAGCTCATACGTATTACTTTGAAAAACAAGAGCCTCGGCGATGCTTTTGTCGTTGGTGAGATATTATTCCATTCTGATAACGCACGACAATTACGGAGCGAACTCTGTCCATTTTCATGGACGTTGTTGGTCCCAAAGAGAACGAGCAGGACTCGAATCTTCGGACCGAACGCTATTGTACCGTCATCAAGAAGCACACACAGTTACGTTTCATCTTAGGATAGTCATGTGGAGGGGCGTTGTTTCGATTGGCTGCTCGGTTATGCACATGACGAAGGAGCTAATGGGTTTATCGTCGATCAGGAGTGCAAGTGAAGGCAAGATCACAAGTTTCACTCAAAGTGTCTGAGCGTTAAATCTTTAGAAGATCTCGGAAATGCTCGTCTCAGAAAGGAAGTTATATCTATTCATGGGCATGTACACACACTTACCTTCCTCGTATTTGGACATTCGCATTCATCGTTGCATGTGACGCTATTCACAGCTTCCATTTTTTCACTATCTCGATGTTTGGCTGTAATACTGAAGAAGAGATATATTTGCACTCTAAAGAAGCACCGGAAGTTGTCTGTCCCGACCGGAGAGTCTGTTTTTTTCATCACGATGGACGGTGAAAAAATGATGACAGGTGAAGCTCAAGGCGTCTATACTCTCTCTGAGCGAGTCGTGAAGCATACTTTTTCCGACTTTGGTGTGGCCTACACACACTTGATGTTGTTCTGCAGCTTTTTTTCAAGCGTCTATTGGATGATAAGTTCCACTCTCTACTGACCTGCCTCATCTCATACTTAAAAAGGCAACAAAAGCTCAGCGAATCCATGAAAACACAAGCCAAGAAAATTGCAGACACTCGATAGGGGTCGATGCTTAAGGTACATTCGTTAGTTTTCTTTCCATTAGCGATGGCTTACAAAGATATGATATGTGGTGCAGGTTGTTGCTTGGTTTCGGCAACCTCAATTGCCAAAACCAGCAAATTCTGGTGAGAAGAATACGCCTTGCGCACCACCACTCAAGTGGTGGT